TCGTGACCTTAGTGCAGCACCTGCCCCCACCTTGCTCCCAGGACTGTCCTAGCTGGGAGCCGGGCTCTGGGGTGACAGGTTAGGCAGCCACATGCAATGACACCATCCCCTGTGGGTGACAATCAATCCAGCTCCCTACTACCGTGCCTGGGAGAGCAGCAGAGGAGGCAGACCTGGGAGGAGCAGCTGGCTCCCGCCTTTGGCCTGGCCTGGCCTCACCAAATCAAGTCAATTTTAAGAGGAGTGCTATTTAAGTAAGTCAGACTGAAGCTTCTAGAATCTCACATAGAATCCCTCAGTATGAGCAGCTACTTCTTCATTATTTTATTTGAAGGCAGAGCTAGAGAAACCTATCTCCCCTGCCACTCTAACTCTGCCTTTCAAATATATCTTGTTTTTTTTAATGCCTTAGCTAGTCTTTATTTATTTTTAAATTTCCTTTACTCTTGTTTACTTAAAAATATATATAACTCGGGGCTGGCACAGTGGCCTAGTACGCTAATCGTCGGCTGAAGCATGGGCGTCCTACCTGCGCCCCGTTCGTGTCCCGGCTGTTCTGCTTCTGACGCTGCGCCCGCCTGTGGCCTGGGCAGCGGTGGAGGATGGCCCAAAGCTTAGGCGGCTGCACCCGCGTGGCAGACTGGAGCAAGCCCTGACTCCCAGCTTCGGATCAGCTCCACTCCGACCAGAGATGCTGCTGGGAGGGAGAGCCAGCAGATGCAAAGCCTCTGTCTCTCTTCTGTGTATAAAATCTGCCTTTAATATAAAAATAAAGTAATATACACAACTCTTTTTTATTCTAAAATGATGTCAAACCTATCTATGTATATATCTATCTATATATATAGATATTTATATATATATAGAGAGAGAGAAATCTGAAAAGGCAAAGTGGCAATAAGGGAGACACACAGAGAGACATTCCACCCACCAGCTCACTCTGCACATGGCTACAGCAGCCACGGCTGGGCCAGTGTCAGGCTAAGAAACCTGAACTCCACCTGAGTTCCCTACATGGGGGCAGGGCCCAAGGCACGTTAGCAGGGAGCTGGATGAGAACAGCCAGCACTCAGATGTGGGACATGAGTGACGGAAGTAGTAGCTGAACTTGCTGCAACTCCACCTGGCTGCTGTCACTCCCTTATCTGACGGCGAGAAACCTCTCCCCCCCCTCAGTGGATCAGTGGATTGCATCTCAAGTGCCCCGCGTGCAGGCGTTATTAACTTGGTGGCCAGTGAAGAACGCCTGGGCATTGTGGCTGAGCTGGCAGGAGCAGCATGTTGAGCAGGGCACACTGGCCCCATGGGCGACACACAAGCCTCTCCTGCCCCAGGCAGGAGGTGGACGGTTATAGAACCTCTGGAAGACAGCTTCCAGAGCATCCTCAGCCTGATGGTCCCTCGCAACCCCTTCCTCTCTGCTCAGACACCTGACTGCACAGATGCACTCCTGACACCTCTGGCCTGCATCACCGTTATTCCGAAGCACCTACGGGCCAGGAGTGTGGGCTCCTTCATTTGGAGTTAGTATTTAACAAGGTGTTCTAAAAACACAAAGTACCGAAAGCAAGCTCCTGGCCACAGTGCAGGCACCATTCCAAGTGGATTCCCAGCTCTGGGTCTGTCTCCTGCTGCCAAGCTTGACATAAAACGACCGAGCCACTTCAGCTCGAGGTTGAACTCTGTTCCAAGAGCTCTGTGGTCAGGCTGGGGAGAGGAGGGACAGGACTCTGGGAAATGCAGGCCAAGTTGAGCACGTGGGGTGTGCCAGTCTGGCTTTCTGGCTTGGATGCCCGTGGCGGAGCAGTGAGGAGCGCGGTCTTACTCTACTTCACAGGGCACAGGTAGCAGATAAAGGACAGGGGCCCCAGTCACCCAGCCCCTGACCAATCGCATGCATTTGCAGGGAGGGACATGAGTGTGCCAGAGAACTTGTCAGCTGAGCCGTGGGTATTGCCCAGCACAGCCTGGCTGGAAGGCAGCCCTGAGAGTGAAGGGGACGCTGCAGCAGGCGCCTCATCTTTGCAGCCTGGGAAGGAAGGGCAGGGCTCCAGTGGTGGTGTCCAGCAGCTGCCCACTGACCCTGCCCATTTGCATTACCAAGCTATTACATAAATGTCATTTACTTGGAATTCAGGGTTCCACTGAAAGCACACAGCACCCTTGGCTGCATGACAATGACTGCAGCCCAGTGAAGGTCCTCCCAGGAGAGGCTCTGGGAGGTCGGTGGGGGGAGTCGAGCTTTTCTGCAAGGCAAAATCTTTGAAGTATATGGAGGTCTCACCCAATCAAACTCTCTGCAAGACGCGGGCGGCACTTCATCAGGTTGAGGCATAGCTGTTTTCCATTTACAGTTGACTTGGTTTGAGGGCGCTTCAGGGACTGAACTTAATAGCTTCAATTTCCAACTTCCTTAACTGAAAGGCATAAATACAGCGGCCGTGTCTTCGGACTCCGGGCAGGTTTCAGGCAGCAGCACCGCCAGGGGGTGATCGACACGCTCTAGAGGAACCCATGGCTTCATCCACAAGCGTCGGAGACAGGAATGCTTTAGGGGGTAGATGCTGCTGACCCTCTCCCCTAAAACAGAGCCATTCAACCCTTTTCGGGGGGCCCTGGGAGTAACACTGACGCTGGCAGCGCCGGGCAGGCTCGAGGTGGAACACAGTTTCTGCTTCCAGGGCAGAGGAGGAGGAAGCAGGTGGCAGAAACAGAGATCTTCTATCTACCTGTCACTCCCCAAATGCCCAAAGAGCAGGGCCTGTGCCAGGATGAAGCCAGGAGTCCCAAACCCTAAACTCTCCCATGCACCACCACTGCTGTTCCAGGGTGCATCAACAGTTAGCAGGAAGTTGGAACTGGAAGTGGAGGCAGCATTCAACAGGCGTCCCAAATGGTGTGAGAACCATGGCACCCACTGCCAGCCCTGCTGCTCCGGTCTTGCACTGCATGTCTGCCTGTGGCTCACAGAACAGGGCTCTCTGGCAACGGCTTCTACAGCAGCATGCTGGAAGGTCTCAAGCAAAGAGCTGCATGTTGCAACTAAAAAAACACGTATCAGAGAGAGAGAAAACTGCCGCCTGCTGGGTGCATTCCCCAACGCCTGCACTGCCCATGGGGCTGCAGCCGGCTCAACATCAGGCCCTGTCCATGTCCTCAGGTGGGCGGAGGGGTCAGCTGCTCTGTCACCTGTCTGCCTCCCAAGCTGTGCACTTGCACAGGCAGCTGGAGTCAGGAGCCAAGACGTTCAAGGACATACATGGCTTCCAACTGTCATAGAGTCCTGTTCACCGACCAGCAGGCCACGTGTGTGAGGCTTTTAGCAGTCTGCATCTGCTCTCCACGATTAGCCAGTCCTCCCACAAACCATCAGATAGTGGCAGGTTTTCTGTAACGCAGAGCTGACTTGTCAAAGAGGCGACTCTGTTCAGACACTGGTTGAAGCGGTAGCAACAGACCAGTTCCAAGCACTGTACCCTCTCGGCTTTGTGAGCTAACTGGGGATGAAGGGGTATGCTACTTAGTGGAGACCCTGATGGAACATACCACTTAGTGAGCTCCATGAGCTCCAGCAGCCTCCCCAAGCCAGACCTGCACTGTGCAAGCAACAGGAAGGCCTCCCACGCCGAGAAAAAGGCACCTCCCATCCAGCTAACGCCCTCGGAGTGCTGCTCGCCTCCCCCATTGGCCGGCATCACAGGGTGCAGAAGCCCAGCCCAGCGGCCTGGTGCGTGGTGGGAGAGAGCTGAGCCCTCCCCAGGGACTTCGCCAGCTCCACACTCCCTGCCCCCCGGAGCCGCATTTCACTGGTAGTCTGGCACATGCCAAGTTCTTGGCTCTAAATTACAAAACACAACGGCACAGGAGGGAATCTGAGTTCGATGATTTGCAAACACTGCAGCAAGTCACTTTGTAAACATTTGTTTTGTGTACCTGATTTCCCTGTTACCTGGCGCTGAGATGTGCTTCTCCCAAAGACTGCTTCATTCACACTGAAACGAACTCAGCTGCTTCTGCACCATTCAAAACAAACTCGCACACACCCCAAACAAAAAGCCTTCATTAAACAGTAATCAGAGCGTCTCGGCAATTATCATGGAAGGGTCTCTCATGTCACTCAGAATCAGCATCAGGTCTACAGGTGCGCTCGCAAGTGTACACAAAGATGTCATTCGAATGCAGCCAGCTCAGACAGGAGGAGGATGAGTTACAAGCCACCGTGAGGTGTTCTGGGCTGAAACCAGCCCGTGACAAGAAGCCCATCCCGGCTTTCCCTGAACCAGACACTGGGCATGCTCGGGACTCCACGAATCAGTTCTGAGTAAGCAGACAAGCCCTCAGCTCCGACGGCTGGCCTGGCCCGGTGCGGGAGGTGAGCCCGTGGACCCTTCGCCACCGCCATCTGTGTAAGAACCGGTGGCTTGGCACACAGGGGAGTCAGAGTCCCAACACAAACGCACCCTAGTGCATCCTGCATTCATAACTGAATTCTCTCCTCTGTACTCAAATACGAAACACAGCTAGACACTGAGGTGACATCAGAGAACACCGGCCTTGGCCCGCCCTGCTCCTGCCTGGGGGGAGCAGCCCTGCTGCCAAGGACACACGGGCTCAGCCCGGCAACTCCAAGCAGCACCGCATGGGAGAAACACTCAGGGGCTGATTCTCTCTCTTTCTTTACAGCATTTTCTTAGCGTTGTGGGGTCACAAAGTCCTAACCAAGGCTATCCAGCGTGGCTTATGCACCAGGCAGAAGACTCGAGTCAGGTGGGAGAGAGGAAGCTCCTGTCATCTGCAAGGACCTCGCTGGAGCTCAGCAACCCAGAGGCAGCCTGCCTGCGGTGCTGCGGTGCTGCGGTGCTGCGAGGTGCTGCGGAGCTCTGCGGGGAGGGGCCGGCACAAATGCAAATGAGGACCAAGAGAAGTCTTCTCAACTCCCAGAAGCCCAGCCATCCACCTGCAGAAAGGAATGCATGAGGCCCCAGGCTACAGCGCCAGTCTTTGTCAGAAAATATATTTATTATTGATAGCGAGTGAAGCCAAGATGTCAGTACCCACGACAGAGGTCGCCTAAGTCAAGGCTGCCTTTCTATTGATAAAAATGCCTTATTTCCCTTGCAATCATAAACATTATTCCAGTAAAAGAGGAACATTTTCTCTCCTTTTTGTCTTCCGTGCATGATCACAATAATAAGTTAAAATGGAACAGCTCTTATTCAATCAATAGAAAAAAACAGACAGAAACCCAGGTGCCAAAGCCTAGACAATCCTGCCCAGCCGTGCCGCTGGGCTCCGCCGCCCCCACTCCATGCCAGGCTGCCAAGCTTGTCCGCTCCGCACAGTCTGAGGACCGACAGTTACGGGGCTTGGTGTGAAGACAGGCATGTGATGGTGGGCAGAGCTGAAGAGAAAGTACAAAAGGGGGAGAAGGCCGTTCGGTTCCTTTATTCAGCATAAACGGGGTTTACAAACACTAAGCTGTCTCCTCGGGACTGTCCGTGATCTTGGCCTCGGCTTTGCCAATTGGTGTGGATCCAAGATGTGCCATGATTTTTTATTCCGTCTGCTTTCTGCTGCTTCACTTCAGTGGTCTTCTCTTTAAACGGTTATTTTATTAGTAGGGAAAAAAATGTTCCGCCTCTGGAATTAATGTTGAAGGGCTTCGTGGGCTCGGGAGGCAGTCCTAGCCACCTTTGCCCAGCAGGCTCTGCAACAGAAAGACAAAGCACACTTTACTGCTTGAAGGAGGGGGAAGGAGAGGCAGCCGAGTGGTCAGGGTGATTCACACTCCTTGCAATTAACGACTTCCAACACACTAAGAGGACCACCTGTCACAACCACTGTGGCTTTATCAGCACCGATCCTTCCACGGTGCCAGGCGCGCAGCCTCCAGAGGCCGGCGGGGAGCGGGCTGTCACCACCGGGCACGCGTGGAAATGCTGGGGGCACAGCTGCTGGCCGCTGACCAGAACACTACTGCCAAGACAATGTGGTGGCGGGGCGTCAGGAAAGGTGGGGCTTTGAGAAGGAGTCTGTCCTAGACACTGCTCACTGCGGGCAGCATGCCCAGCGTACTTGCCACAAGTACTGCTCCCAATTGCAGAGAGCCGTTCCCGTGTTCTCGCCGCCGACTGCTGTGGACGCAGCTGAGGAGGGATGGATGGGAGGGATTCTTGAGTGAGAGCTGAACACTTCTATAGCCGGCTGAGGTGGGGTGCTCAAAGCATGTTCTACTTTTTAAAAAAGAAATGCACCAGGGCAAGGCCAGGAGCTGGGAAGTCCATCCTAGTCTCCCAACAAGTGGCAGGAACCCATGGACGTGGGCCGTCACCACTGCCTCCTCGGCTGCAGCAGAAGGCAAGCTGAGCAGGGATTCATCCCACACCCCCGATACGGGATGCAGGCACTCCAAATGCTTGACCTGCACTGGCGGGGACTGAGAGATCCATCAGCAAGGCGATGCTTCCCCCGCAGCGTCTGCAGCTCATCTGTCCCCCTCCCTCCAGGCACCCCTCCTCTGCAGCCGCCTGCACACCTGGCTCTTCTGAGCGCCGAGGTGACCAGGCCATGGTTAGGTGCAGACTGTTACGCACACCCGAACAAAACTAAGAAAGAACACTGAATAACTGGCAACATTTAACTTCTTTGCTAAATACATGCAAAGACTGATTTTTATTAAATAAGTAATATGTTCAGAATGAATTCAAAAGGAGCAAAGTCTATTCCGGGAAAGGCAGTTCTCCTTTCTCCATGCCCAGCACAGAAGGTAGTGGTGGAGGAAGCGGTCCTGCCAGTACCAGGTCTGGGAAACACCCCAACTCACGAGGGGGCTGGGCTGGGCTGGGCAGGCTGGGGCAGGGTGGGAAGCAGCCCAGGACAGGAGGAGGGCAGAAGACACAGAGGCCTCATGCAGTGAGGCCGTGGCCCAGGATGCAGCCAGAATCTGAGAGCGCATCCCACTCAGGAGGCCTCCAGGAGCAAGGCTGGGCTGACACCCCAGACACACTGCACCTGACGGCGGGGGTGTGGAGGCCCGAGGACTGGGGAGGAGGAAAGGCCAGGGAGGCAGGGAGGCAGGAGTGATCGTCTGACTGGAAGCAGACCTTCTCGGATGCTGGCACCGTGGGTGGAGGCTTCAGCTGCTCAGCACCGGCCCCCCAGGCCCTTTACAATCTTTGCAGACAGGCTGGCAGGAAGCAGCGGGTCTAAGTGGGAATGGCTGCCACACTCCCAGCCTTGCCCCGGTCTTCGTCCTTCTGTAAGCTCTGCTCAGGGACGCGAGCTCTGCCGCCGCTCAGGGACAGCGTCCTCTCGGCTTCTGGTCCGCTCATCTCCAGTACTTCTCGTCTTGGCTTCCCACTCTACTCCCCTCACCATGCACAGCCCCGCACTTCCTGGGACGGAGAGCATGGTGGTGCAGCAGGAGCCTCGGGCTGGCGAAAGGCAGCCTACATTTCCTAATGGAGTTTATTAGGCGGCAGCCCACGTTCGTCCAAGCATGGCTGAGATAACTGCTTTTCACTTCACTGATTCTAGAGAAACTGTGAAACTGTCTCTAACCCTCATCATTCCACGGCTTTGGCTTCCCCAGGGCTTCCCGGAGTGTGTAACTGGGGAGGCCAGGCAGCAGGAGGGCCCGTGGGCACAGTGAGCGGGGGCACAGGAAGTGGACGTGCTGCTCTGTTACACCCGCTGCGACGGACGGGCTGCAGGCCCTGGAGTGCGTGCTCAGTGCGCTCCGCTCCCACACACAACACAACCAGGAGGCCCCTCGTGGGCGCAGCGGACAGGCTGCAGGCCCTGGAGTGCGTGCTCAGTGCGCCCTGCTCCCACACACAACACAGCCAGGAGGCCCCTCGTGGGTCACCCGGTTCAGGCTTTTAATCTGTCAAAGAATAAAGTCTGGGTCACCACGACTCCGTGAGGGTGATCACACTGTTTTCCCATCAACCTCATCCTCGGGTGAACACAGAACGTTCCCCAAGAATCCAGCCAAGCTTGGGTATCTTTTCTGTTGCAGTAGTCGCAGTTGGGGAAGAGCTGAAGTGCTGCAAGTCGCTGCAGCCAGGGTGTACAAGACCACAGGGCGCGGGGTGGGGGTCACAGGGCGTGGGGTGGGGGGCCACAGGGAGCGGGGTGGGGGTGGGGGTGAGGGGTCACAGGGTGCGGGGTGGGGGGCCACAGGGAGCGGGGTGGGGGTGGGGGGTCACAGGGTGTGGGGTGGGGGTCACAGGGCACGGGGTGGGGGCCACAGGGTGTGGGGCGTAGGGTGGGGGGCCCACAGGGTGCGGGGTGGGGGGCCCACAGGGTGCGGGGTGGGGTGGGGGGCCCACAGGGCACGGGGTGGGGGCCACAGGGTGTGGGGCGTAGGGTGGGGGGCCCACAGGGTGCGGGGTGGGGGGCCCACAGGGTGCGGGGTGGGGTGGGGGGCCCACAGGGAGCAGGAATAACGCACACCAGAAAGCATGCCCTCTTTGAGCGGGTTGTGGCAGTGAGTCGCAGTACTGCAATTGTAGGCTGCTTCAGCAGTTAGAAGGCTGAGCAGAGATGAGAGATTTCAAGACAGACGTCTGTATCCGTGGCTGTGCCTCGTTTTTAAATGCTTTGTCTCACAGAGCTGGCCGGCAGCTTTTATGTCTTAGAAATAATAATTGGGCAATTTAATATCTCTTTATCCTCATGAAGAACACATAACTTAATATACTGGAAATAATAGTCTGAATGGTTCATGTCAGCCATGAGCAGTTGCTCCAGAAGAGCTCAAGACTGATGAGAGTAAGTGGGCGAACAGAAAGCAGGACCGTCAGGTGGAGGAGCGGCCAGAGAACTTCCTGTCAGTGGCAGCCTCCAGAACAGTGCCCGAGGCACGTGGCAGGCGCCTCTGCGGCTCCTGGGTGGAGCGGGCTTGGTGAGAGGGCTTATCAGAAAGGCACTACGCCAGGAGCCAGCAGGGCACTGCCATGTGCGGGCAGTCTACCTTGCTCTCTGGGCCAAATGAAAGCCCAACACTGGGTTGGAGGGCATGCCCGGAGAAGGCCAGAAAGCAGTGCACATGCGGACCAGGCAGAGCTGGGTGGGCATGGGGGTGCACTCGTTCAGATGAACCTTACCAACAGCATAAGGTAACACGGTGTCAGGGAGTACCAGGAAACACTGCAGGAGCGCTCCCGCTGGCCACCCCCCGGATCTCACAGTGCCACAGTGCGCAGCCGCTCCTGTGAGCGCAGGCCACAAGCCACCATTTCCCTCACTGCGTTATCAGTGAGTGCAGGGGTCCTTTGCACACACACCCACCGCCATGCCACACACCACTTAGTCTATTCTAAAATTTGTTTTTGGTCTCATGACTAGGTACACTTGGTCTAGCTGTGAAATTTACTGCCATGACTTCCCTGAGCTCCAAGGCTCTCAACTGTGAAATGGTAACAAGTAAACCCACCTCTATTTACATCTCAGGTTGTCATAAAAATCAGGGAGGAAAGCGCTGTGCAATGACCTTGAAATCTTAAGAACTGCAGAAAGTAAGGGATGGCTGTCTCTTGGTTCTTGCCCATCACACTGCTGCCCATCGTGGGATCAAGGCTTTATGGACTCTACCGTTAAGATGAGCTTGTATTACACATTTCCTAATAACCGGATTGAAACAATCCCGCCCCCCCCAGCTGGAACTTACTGACAAATGATTTTGCCGACTGGGGAGGGTGTTTTGCAATGCTTAGCAATAATCTGATGCTTCTGGCTGATGTACTGCCTTTCAGCACAAGTAACGCAGCTGAACAAGGAAGGCAAGAGATGAAGCCTTCACACACATGTAATCGTTACATTATTCCAATTCTCAAACGGCAAAGTCAAGGCCCCAGATCACAGAGCTGGTTGGGGGGGGAGGCTTGGATACAAACTAAACAGTGCCATTTCCCGAGGGGGTAATGCCCCTTCCCACACTGCCTGTGAAACACAGAGGACAAGGAACCAGGCCTCACCACACCAGACGACACAGCTGTTTTTGTCCCAGATTCCTCTGTCTGATCCTGGAAACACACGCCACTGACAGATCTCACGAGCTGAGGTAATGATGCACCTAGGCAGCCGATGGGTCCAACGCTGCACGGGCTGCTTCCAGCGGGTTACAGATCACAGAGGAAAGATGCTCCAGCTCACACACCAGCAGGGACACGCCCTGCGTCCACCGGCTGACCACTCGGCCCCATCAACGAGATACGCTATTACCAAGTGAGGACGGACGAGAGGTCAACCTACAAACCTACAGTGCTGTGGCTGCTTATTCATTCTCAAGGCTGGAGCTTGTTAAGAGCAGGTCAGAGCGGCTTTTAACAAATAAAATGCACTAACTCTGCATTAACGGCGCTGCCTCTAACGAAGACCTTTAAAGACTCGCCGGCTCGCAGTGAGGAACACGAGACAAAGCCACAGGCTACGAGGCCTTTAAAAACAGCCCTTCTAATACATCTTGAGTATATTTTTTTCAAGAGTGTTACTGTTATTTTCTAGCTAGCCAGACAATACCAACCCTCCCATCAGATACTGAAAGAGTGTTAGAAATTTACACTAAGTGGTATTATTATGATGACGGAAAATTAGACTGCAGAAAGACATGCTGTGTTAACTCCAACACTGCATTAGTGGGGTGAGGTCAGTCTGGGGTTCTTAGCAGAGAGAACCAACACTGCCCACGATTCCCGTCTCTCAACAACCTACATCCAACCGCTACAGCAGCTAAATGACAGGCAATTATTTGACCTGGCAGGATGGACAATTTGCTTTAGAGTTTATCATTAGTTTTCTAAAGTATATAAATGAGAGAAAATCCAAATCCCATGAGGACTGTACTATTCTGACGGAAGGGTCAAGAGAACGTGGGGGCTGTGGCACACGAAAGCAGTATGAATTCTTGTCCAAATCCTATCTCTGCTGCCCCGTCCCTAGACGGGTGGACACAACCCACTGGTCCGCAGGCTGAGCGCTGGGGGAGCTGCAGCCCCATGGAAGAATGCCTGACCTTCACGGACCCAAAGCTGTGCGTCTCCCAATGCACACACTTCCTCTGCTGGCTTTGAACACTGCTCTACAAACACACCCCTGAGAACACAACTGTCTGAGGACAAAAGTTCAAGGCAAGTGGGACTGAGCGTGAGTTCAGTAGTGCCTGTCAGACAGAGCTGAACACCTGGAGGCCACAGGCTCTCCTCCAAGGCCCTGGAGGCAGCTACGACCTAAGCAACTCCTCCCAGCAGGTCCACACACTGGCCCAGGAAATCCTGCCCTCGGCCCGGGAGCCCTGCCCAGCCTGCCCGGCACACTCACCTGTTTGGCGTGATTGACACAGTGCATGTACTGGTTGGCCAACGCAGAGCAGCTGAGGGTCTGATGGCTGTTCTGGCGGTAGCACTGGAGAATTCTGGCCTGCAGGTCAGCACAGACTGGGTGATATTCATACCGCCTACGGACACAGACAGAGACCACTGAGACAAACGGCCTTGACTTAGAACAGATCAAACACTAAATAAGGTACAAATGCTGCAGGTGCAGAAAAAATCCAATCATTTTCTTCAGGACTTCACGCCGGGATCCCACATGGGCGCTGGTTCTAATCCCGGCAAACCCCACTTCCCATCCAGCTCCATGCTTGTGGCCTGGGAAAGCAGTGGAGGATGGTCAGTCTTGGAACCCTGCACCCGTGTGGGTGACCCAGTGGTTGGAAGATCTTTGTCTCTATATCTCCTTTTCTTTGTAAATCTTTCTGATAAAAAAAAAATTTTTTAAAGAGATATCTAAATTATTCCCAGAATAAAGATGTATACAAGGTAAATGAATTTCATGAGATTACATCTATAAACTGCCATCGTGAGTTACCTTGGGACGCTGTAACCCCAAGCATGTGAATGGTGCCAGCTCTGTTCGGCTTGGTTGGCTGCGCCAGCACCCCGTCAGGTACAGCTCTTCTCTTTCCCCCCAGGGACTGGCAGCCTGGTTTTTCTCCCAGTATTCACTGTCTAAGGTAACTCCCATCCTCAAATCCTGATTCAAGCAATGACCTCCAACTGGTCGCTCTGCGCTTGCGTCTGACTCCTGGCCGGTCTGTTCGCATCTCTCCCCACTACTTTCTAAATAAAACGCAAGGTCAACAGACACCTTGCTGACCAGGTTCCTGTCCCCTCTTTTCCTTCATTCCCTACCCAGAGCTGGGCCTAGACCCTGAAGCAGTAGTCTTCCCACTAACAGCACCAAACTGCGTTCTCTCCCTACCCTGCTTACAGAAACACGTTTGCGTTCATGTCTCCTAGGCCGTTCCTGCACTCACTCAGCACCATGCCCATGGACCTGGAAGATACTTCCTCACTGCAACCTCCACACACGCTGAGCAGTTCTTGGCTCCAAGAGTCACCATTCCCTGTGGGACAGCCCTGCCACTGCCACTGCCACCTGCCCTCTGTAAGCCCGAAATGCCACGCCAATCTGGCGGATCTGGGCAGCCACTGTGTACGGAATGCAGATGCCACAGACACTGCCCCGAACTCCCTCTGTGTCCTCGGCTTGGACACGGACGCTCCAGAGAACCAAGACCACCAACGTTCTGAATGAATACAAATGAGTGTTTAAAAATTCCCAGAGTGCAAATTTTCCTATTTATATTTTAAGATCTCAGAATTTTAGATTGCTTCTCAGTGAATACACTATTCCAAAGATAAATGTTTCTAAAATGTTCACATTGTCCCACTTGAAAAATCATAATAGCAAGACAAAAATCACATAAATTAAGACAACAGAAAACAAAATATCTTTGCTAAAATAGCATGTGGACTTCTACTAAAAGGACCACATACACACAGGGAAAATGAATGATAGTAACCTTTTTAATCTATAAATTCCTATTTTTTAAAAAAATTTGTTTTGTTTGACACAAGAATCTTCCTTCCTATTGGTTCTTTTTATGAAATTTAAATTTGTTATTTCCATAGTAATCTTGAAATAGCATTATTTTAAATTTCATGGGTTCTATGAAAACCCCTGGAGAACACGGGGAATATTTCTCATCAATAAGGAAATCCTGGGTGATGGTTTGTCTCCTCGTTACTTTTAACCAAGTGTGTATTTTACCAGAACAGAAATGCAAACCAAGTCACTGGTCCCTGGAGGATGGGATTTCCTGCTACCCACCAAAGACTAGGACACAGGAGCAGGAAGGAGTTCCACAAATTTTACATAACATACTCTACTTTTTCATTCATTACCTTATTGTTCTGTCAAATACCTATGAAGAGAATTTAAATCCAATCCCAGAAGTTTTGATTCTTTTTAAGATTTCCAAGTTCAGATAGCTGGGAATTTTCTGGACAGACATCCCTAACCCTCTCCGATGCACATCAGCATTTAAAAGGAGTCAGCTGAGTCAGAGGTGGCCGGGCAGTTAGCACTGACTGATTATACTAGGGCCACACCTGGATAAATGCTGAATAAAACATGGCTAAGCGTCAGGTGAGAGGAATCCAGCAAATCCATGACTAATGACCAATGGTTCAGAACAAAGTGTGGGACAACCCAGTGCTGACAACTGCTTCCAAGGCCCGAGAGCTGATGGGCGGGGCAGAAGGAGAGGCTGGAATACCCCGCCCACAGGAGGCCGGCCCCCACCAACCCCTGACAGCGTGCAGCTGAAGGGCTGGAAGAATGGCACCCAGTGCTGCACATCAGAAACAAGACCGCAATTCTCAAAAACAGACCTTTCCCAGTGGAATCATTCACTTCAGACCATGGACTTTTTCCAAAGAGGTCATTTAAGCTGTAGGTGAGCACCTACCCCAGACCATCTATTATTATGCAAGTTAAAGTCCATGAGTTATTTATGATTCAAACTGTGTCAAAATATACTTTGATCACCATGAATCAAAACCACTCACTTCCAGGGCTCTTGATTTCCGGCCTGGCCGCCGGGGTACGTGTGTGCGTTCACATGCAATGCCCTGGAATCCTTTTGTACACATTTCAACCTGTATTGATGATGGGATGGGCAGAGCAGGGGCAGAGCAATGGAAATGAGCATAATTGCCCGCCAGTTCCTGGAGTAGACTCCGGTACATTCTTGGATTCGTTGTTAAAGGCAATACTCTGCCTCGATATTGATCTAGGATGCTTGCTATGCCGCCCTAATGCACTATTCTCACACTGGGAAAATGCTAAACGAGATTACCGTCCAACATTAGCAGGCCATAAAGCACAAGCCATGCACGTCCCAGCCAGCAAAAGGTTTCCAAGACGTTTCCAAGATGCATTATGGTAAAGCCGCCAGAGCCATGGAGTCAGCAGCTGACTCTCACTGGCTGCTCTCATCTCTGCTGGGAGAATAACAAAAGGCAGAAATCAAGCCTCCTATGAAAGGAAATTAAGTCTTCAGCTGCAGAGGAGTTTTCAACAGTGCAACTGCATTGTATGTGAGGAAGATCCTCCAAGCTAACGGTGAACGGCAGCTTTAACTGAACAGTGAGATGAACAGACCCAGAGAACTGAGAACAACGGCAGAGAACAGAGAAGGCAGTGCTACACTAAAACTTGTTTAGCCAAAAGGAATTGGGAGAATCCACTGACCTTTGAAAATACACATTGATCAAAAACAAGAAAAAAAATGCAGTTCTGCGATCACTTGAAATGACAGGGGACTTTCAAGGGGCCTACCATGGGCATCTCTCTCTCTCTAAGATCTATTTTACTTCTTTGAAAGGTGGAGCTACAGAGAGAGGGAGAAACAAGCTATATTCCATCTGATAGTTCATTTTTTTTTAAGATTTATTTTATTTTTAACTGAAAAAGCAAATAGAGAGGAGGAGAAACAGAGAGGAAGATCCTCCGTCCAATGATTCACTCCCCAAGTGAGCACAATGCCAGAGCTGAGCCTCTTCCGGGTCTCCCACACGGGTGCAGGGTCCCAAGGCCTTAGGCCGTCCTCAACTGCTTTCCCAGGTCAAAAAGAGGGAGCTGGATTGGAAGTGGGGCTGCAAGGATTAGGACCAGCACCCATGTGGTATCCCGGCACGTGCAAGGCGAGACTTTAGCTGCTAGGTGCCAGGCCCGATAGTTCTTCAAATAGTTCCAACGGCTGGGGTGGGGCTGGGCCAGTCCTGAGCAAGGAGCCAGGATCTGGATGCTCCATTCACATCTCCAAGCCACTTTTCCAGGCACATCATTAGGGAACCGGGTCGTAAGTGAAGTAGCCAGGACTCAAATGGGCATCTACATGGGATGCTGGCTTTGCAAGCTGCCACCAAGCCACTGAACCACAAGGTTGGCCCATCTCTCTTTATTTCTTGTACTCCTCTTGGTTCCCCTCCTCTTCCAAACTCTAGCAGCCTGCTCGCCACAGAATCCTTCCCACCCCCAATGGCTGTCGACAGCAGGTGGAGGCAGCATTCGCCCCCAAAGTTCTGACCTGAGAGTCAAACAAAAAGCAGCAAGTCCTGGCAAGGACCCTGCGGCTGGCAAAGCATTTCTGTGGTTTTGTTTAAAGGGTATGGAAGCAAACAGATCCAGGATTTTTTTTTCCGACAAGTTCATTTTTTTTTTTTCTGACAAGTCCATTGTAGAAACTTGGGAAAAAATGAGGGATACAAACAAAAACTATACCACCATTTCTAAGATTTCCTTTGGAAACACTTTTTATAAGCTGGGTTAATTACAGAACACCTAACACACTCCTGGTGAAAATGAAGGTGAGTTTAGCAGTGTTCAGAACTTACTCCTTAAAGCCCTAAACACACCGCCAATCACCGGCTGTACAGTCATCTGTGGATTCCTGCTGCTTTGCCCAAACCCACTGATGCTGGGCTGAGCTTTACACTTCAAGAAAACGACTTGCACATCTTGTTAGTTCTGCTAAGGAGAATTCGGCAACTGCAGTCTCTCACCGTCCGCTCTGAAGGCCAGTGCGGCCTGGCAAGGACACGTTCCCCACAGCCATCCTTCCTAAGGCTCCTGGGGTTACAAAAATCACCCATTGTGACTCCAGGCACATGCACAAGGATGCCCTCCCTGCATTCAGGTTTAGGTGCCCCCGAGGTCTGCAGATCCTCTAATGCGGCATCAGACAGGGAGAGGAGGAAGGGTGGAAGGGAGAGAGGGGAGGTGTGAAGGCAGTTAACGCACAAACAAAACACTAACATACAGACCTCCCATGGTCTGCCAGTGTGTCTTCCTGAGGTCAGGTGGTCTCATGACACTGCACTGAGCGTGCAGGAGCAGACACACCTGTTATGGAGTCAGCGCTTCACGCCCGGTCCTGGAGCTCACACCAGAGCTGTCATCCTGTACTGAACTCTCATTCAGTGTAAACCCAGGAGTCAGGCTGTCTCAAGAGCTTCTCTAGACCACACCCACAACCGCACCAAGAGCCGAAGCTACTACAGGCACACTACCAGTATTTAAAAAAATACAACGTCCACACATTCCCTG